TCTCTCTCTCTCTCTCTCTCTCTCTCCATCTGTAAATAAGCGTCTTACCCAGTTTGCTATTTTTCAGGCCATTTATTCGAGCTAAGCTAGGAAAACTCCACGATACATCTTGCACGGTAATTGACCCAATCATTTATTTTCAATATCTCTTAGACAGAGAGAGAAAAACATAACGCAAAAAGAGACAATCGTCTGACACTGTCGTTAATTAAACAAAAAAAAAAAAAAGGTGCAAAGAATGCCTGAACGCACAATATTACTGCGAGCAAGAATTCTTTGAGAGACGGTCCGTCGACTAAAACTTGCGCGATCGTTTTTTCTTTCTTTCTTTCTTTTTTTTTTTTTGTTTTTATTTTTGATATTAGCATTGGCCGCGTGTGTGTTCCCGATAAATTATCGATTTTGAGACACCGATCCGATCGGGCGGACATTCAAATCGCGATTTGTACACACGCTTCTCTGCTCTACTATATCACGGAGGAACAATTTCCTTCCGGTTTCCGCTTTCGTGATCGTCTCTGTCTGAAGTTGCGCTTTTTGTTTAGAAGCCTGCTTCATGTGTTCGCCAATGTAAACCTATGTTCTACAATACGTCGTGATTACGCGATGATATGTATATGACAAAACGACAACATGTTTTTTTATCAACAACATTGTGTGACAACAACGCGTATGATTAATGTATTAGAGAACGCGTATAAAAAAAAAAAAAAAACAATGACATCAGATATGTGTGTATTAATTTATAATATTACATATCTTGTTTTTTTTTACATACAATGTTATACAATTTATAGGTATACATAAATCACACACAAAAAAACGACTTGCAGACAATAAGTCGTATATACACACACACACACACACACACACACATGCAAAGGATTATAAGATTTCTTAAAATATGTATGTATTACATATAAATGAGATAGAGTTAAGTTACGCCTGTTCCCTTGTCTCTTTGAAATGAGAAAACTCAATCTTGAATATTCGATATATATATATATATATATATATATATATATATATATATATATATATGTACATGTACAATATATACATATACATATATTGATATTTTATTTATTTTCTTTTGCTATCCCGTGTATCTTTTTGCTTTGTGTTAAATCCCGAAAACATTTGCGTCATACCCCTATTTGCGAGGGGGTTTTGTGCGGATGAGACAATATCTTGGGATTTAACATAATTACATATAATCGATCGCGTTTCGTCCTGTCAGTCCTACGTTATGCAATACCTGCTTCACTTGCACTAACAAAATGTCCTCTCCACGCGGCCGCCTCCACGTGTCACCTGCAGTTCTGTCTACCATCCAGTCATCATGCTGTAAGTTGGATCGCCCGTTTAACACCTGCCTGCGAGTGCTTGCACGCAAGCTTGCTTTCGTGTTGTTCGATATATCGCACACTGTTGTAGTAGTTTTTTTTTGTTTTTTTGTTTTTTTTTTCTCATCCTTGTATATATCTCTGTTGTTGAGAAAACTGTGAAATGCATGAATAAACTTGTACAGACAAAAAAAAAAAAAAAAACTGCAGCGCACCAACTTTTGCGAGATGCTCGTGTTCAAAACTTTTTATATATGTGGAGCATTGTTCATACTAATAAATAATATAACACAAAAAAATATAATAGCGATTCTTGTGAAAGAACATGGATGTACAGAATGAATCGATAGGTTGATACACACACACACATATATATATATGTTTAATTAAACGCTGTTCTCTATATATGTGACACGTATATTTGTCTTCTTTTTTGCAATCAAACGAGATCTGAATGTAACCGAATTAATTTGTCAAGCACAATTTTGGAATGAAATTACAACACAAAGTAGTCCAGTGCGCGTGAATTTAATTGTGTGTTTGACATTGAAATACTTTAGTTTTTTTTATTTATTTTAATACCGAGATGATTGATTTCCAATAATTAAGTTCTAGACAAACTCATAAAAATATTTACGTTATTAGATTGAAAGTTGATACACACAAATGCACACTCCGTTTCAAAATCGAATACGTTTTTTTTTTTTTTTTTTTATACATATATATGTCAGTTCTGCATCACTGTTACAAAGTAAAATTACACAAGCAATTATATTTATTGTTCATCGATTACGACACTTTACTTAGCTTTTGCTCGTAGCCTGTCGCAAAATTTACTGTTTATCTCACTTTTTGTGTTTTATTTTTTTATTATTCGTTTTTTTCTTAATCTAACCGTGCTCTGATTAATTAATTAATATTGTTATTCCGTTCGTTTCCGACATGCTCTCGCACAGGAAATGAAGGAAGCGTGCTCGGTTAGTACGAACATTCTCTTAAAAAACACATGTATACACGCAAGTCCACACATATTGTTGATTATTTTCAATTATTCTACCGAAGAATAATGGAGCGCTTACATTGATCCATTCTATTTCATGTAGTGCCTTGAGAAGGTCTTAGTGCAAAATCTTCACAACGATCTGACACCCTCGTTAAGCGAGATATTGGGCAACGTGCCACGTTGGCGTTTGATTCAAGCCGCTCTTCCTTACGTTCTCCATGCTACTGCCAGCCTCTTGCACAATAGGTGAGCCATAGTGAGTAGCATATAATCTCCAGTTCGCTTCCTTGGATTTTCGCGCGAGAATAATCGTCGTTAATCGTTTAGGAAGGATTTTCGGAACCTCGGTTGGATGGAAACGACTCTGCTTTACATTCTTCATTGGATACTCCTAGATTCGGCAGAAGAATGCGCAGAAAACGAAGCCGATTCGCCAAATCCTTTTTACTACTTATTTCCATTACCTACCATGACAGTAAGCTATCGAGACGTGTGTGAATAAAAACAGAATGCGCAACGTGTAAAACAGATAAATATCACATGAGATTTTTTTCAAATTCTTCTTCAGCTCTTTGTCTATCTGTTCGCACCCCTATGCAATCATTTAAAGGACATCGGTTTCAATGCGAGTTTTCGGTTAGAGAACGGCCTAAAAATATGGTCCGCCATGAACGAGTACCGACATCCGGATGCACTTTGCTTCACGGCGCACTGTCGCGCCAAGCCGCGCATTTATTGGAGCCAATCCTTCAAATCCACCAAGCAGCATTTGTTGTCAGATGACGTTTTTGTTGGAGGAAGTAAGTTTAACTCTTTTGATTAAGTGAAGTTCTCGAAAAAAAAAAACAGTTTTACATATTATTCACAGATAACATCACACGCAATTGAAAATATAAATGTTTCTCTCGTACTTTTCTCTTTGTAACATTTTTCAGATATCGAGAGTCCACCGAGTCAATCGTTTTCGGATCAAAGTGCTCCGGCTTCGAAGGGAAGCGACGATGACGTAAGTTCGAAATTGAATGAATAAAATTTTCACAAATTTTCCAATTACAGCGGCAAGGCGAACTCTAATTAGGAATATCCATATCGGCAGAGTACACGGCTGTCATCACCGAAGGAGACGGTCCATTCCAGTCACATCCCGGAAACGATTCCCGAGGAGAGCTCCGGCGCGGAGGATGAGCATGTAGTAAGTTTACGATTTGCAACGAATGCCGGGCCGCGCGATATCGATCGACAAATGACATTTCTTTTTATTGCGCCAGGTAATATTCAGGTTACCATCTTTGAGCGAGTCGGAGAGGACGCTTGACGGGGTAAAAGAAGTTTCCACCATATTCGCAGTGAGTTATACGAGGTAATGTCTCGAGACTGAGCGCGGAGCAAATAATATTTTTGTGGCTACCGCAGGGTGAGGCCAGCATCTTTCATGTCGCGATGGGCAGGACGACCTGCAGCCCCTCGAGGCTGACGATCGAACAGATCACCGCGGTCACAGGACTGGACACTTGCAAGCCGTTTAACGGGCAGGTTGCGAGAACCGGGTTGGCTAAGTTCCATCATCTTATATTACGATACATAATTCTTTTCTCACATTAAACAAACACACACACACGCGCGCGCGCGCGTATCTCGACACTCGTGTCAGTTATGAAAATTTAAATAAGGTTTATTGAAAAGATGTTTTTATTTACTTAGATTTAGACGAAGTAACTGGACACTTAATGATTCATTAAAGAGAATGGCATCCTTGATTAGAGGCACGGACAAGGAGAGGGAAGAGAAAGCTTCTAAGCCGGAGAAGGAAGCGTCGCAGGAGACGTCGAAGACCCACGGCAGTTTGTCAAGCCAACGTCAGGCTGGTGACACGGAGCACGGTTCCACGAGCATCGATCCGGACGTTCGCGCGGCAACTTTCCTGGACGTAGCCACTCTGAGATGTTTGTTCGTACCTCAATGGCAGGAAGAAGGCGTCTTCTGGGCTCTTCAATTTTTGTATCATCGGTCAGTTGTTTTGTTGCGAGTTTTATTAATTATTTAAAACAGAGTAATTTTTTGTTGATTCCCAATATATTGTGTTTCCACAGAAACAATACACATGTATGTTAAAAACAAAAATTTAAAACATCCAAAAACTTCCAAGATAAATATGAATAAAGAGTAATACACAATTTTTTTTTGCGGGTGTGAATTTATTTTTAAAACACAACACAGGCTACGAAGGATCAACGAGGAAAGCTTGGTGCAGCAGATGCCACGTCGTCGTAGCAACTCTCTGCCCATACCGAAAATCGAGGTCTCGATTTATCAGAGCCCCGAGAGCAAAAAGAAGGATGTGCTGAAGGATTTCATAGAAGTGCCCGAAGTGCGTGACGTCTCTTCGTCGACGGGTACGTATTCGCGGCAATTTCTTCACTCGTATTCTCGATTACGGGTTTTCTTCTCTTCTTTCTTATACAGAATTTGCCACGTTTTCTAGAATCGCACGACGCGCACAAAGGTCCCGATAGCGAATCAAGCCATACAAGACGCGCCAGCGAAAAGTCGAAAAAGAAGAAGAAGATGGCTGATCTCAGAGCTTTCGTAGAGACGAAAATACTCTCGAAGTCAGAGAGGGCACTTGAGAAAATCGATCAGGAAGAGCCTAAAATGATGTTAGACCAGGTAAGTAATCGCGTTTCTTAATTGTTTGACAAAGATTACAATGGGGAAGAATAAAATTAAATTATTCTCCTGTTTTAACTTTCTTCAATTCGTGTAAATTATGATCAGACATAAAAAAAAATAGATTATTATTTTATATATAAACGACATTATCACATTAGTAAAGGCGTTTTTAGATTAAATTTTACCATTTTTTAATAAAAACAATTAGGAATGTCGAAGAAGTCTCGATACTGGAGACGATTACCTAGTACCGAGACCGACCTCGGCCAGCTCAAAGATTTTCGAAGCAAAGGACGTTGACCACATGAAGCATCCCACAAATTTGATCAAAGGGACGAGTATGCCAAGTTTAAGGTAAGAACTTAACCGGAAAGAAAACATGTAACAGTAGAAAACTTCCACTTTAGGGTATTATTTTCTCTTTCTCTATGACTTTGATCTTCTTTGCTCGTACGTACAACGATTTATCGTTTATTTTGATTTTCTAGAATTCGTACTATTTTTTTTTTTTTTTTTTTACCGCCAATGATTTACAAACTTTGCTTAATCTCAAACTTCTTGACTCGGAAAATATATGTCACGTATTTTTTTACGCGCGAACGTTTCCACATAGTCTAGTTTAAGAAGCTACAATTATGTTTACATGTATCTTAAGTGACATAACAATTTTAGGACAGACGTAGTTGTGTGCTTAAGCTACACGCAGTGAGAGATAAACGTTAGAACAACAATTCTTTATGAATATAGAAACAAGAACTACTGTTGGATGATATATATAATACGAGCGTACAATCGCCGTGTAGTATTAATCTTGTTTTAAATTTTGTAATTAAATGTATATATAATTGTTCAAAAATATATTACTTTCTGACCTCAAGTAACAATATGACACGCATTAAAACTAAAATTTTATTTAAAAATCAATATTTTTTTATGTAGCACAATATAGAACAAGATCTGTTATATATACATCTGTTATATATGTTATCCAGCATTAATAATTCTGAACGATGTTTTCGACCATAAATTAGGTGAGCAATAAAATTATGTTTAGACACATACATTCATTTCTCACATCAATTTCTTACAATTTACACGATGTAACTTTTTTGTAAATAAACACGAGTAACACTTTTGTTATAATAAATGTGTTATTATATAAAAAACATTTATATATTATTTATTTATCGCAAAGTAAACGCATTTCATCTGATAGATATGGTTCGAAAATATGGCTCAAGTTTTTTCAACGATTAATCCAGCGCTTATATAAAATATCGTAATACTTATGCGTAACCAACTTTCTCTGTGTGTGTCTCTTTTCTCTCTCTCTCGTCCTTTCACCCCGAACTCGTGCGCTCAGCTGCTTGATTAACGAGCTGACCGCGGGAGGGTAAGTCATCAACATCACTCGAAGGAAATTCTCCGTACTGCAGCTCGGTTTACACGCTTTCTTTACGAGTTTCCTTGCTTCCAATAGGGCGCACAATTTATCCCTACAATTTATACACCGAACCGCATATCGAAATTCAGTTGCATCGGCACGTCGGCAAGAACTTACGAAGACACATGAAGCACATCTCATCAATCCATCCAATATTTTATTAATATCTCAATCAATTTTTTTTTTTTTTATATTTAGTGATGTGATTATTTCCATTTTCTCTTTTCTCTCTCTCTTTCTCTTTCTCTTTCTCTCTCTCTCTCTCTGTGTATGTTACGTATTATGTAATTTTATTGATTCTTGTTGCACATTAAATAATCATTGTTTTATTCAACAAAATAATTAATAAAATTCCAACAAAATCAAAGTGTCTTTCTACGTTATTTATTCTATTTAATACATTTAATTATATATCACGTGCATTAATTAAAATTCTCACTAACAAAGTTAAAATATACCCACTCTTGCGTTGCTTTTGAACTTTTATTGCTTTGTACTATAATATCAAAATAAAAATAATCTTATTACAAGTAACGTATAATAGATAAAAAAAGATTAAATTATAGAAATGTGTATCGTATTTTTACTTATGCATGTTGTTAAATAAAATAAGCAATGAAGCAAGAAGTCGAATAACGCGTTGCCCTCTTGCAATTTGAATTTCCACAGTCACATACAAAATTCACTTTTTTTTAATTCTTTAAACATATAAAGACAGATTTTTTCATTGTTGTTTTTTATACTTTATTTCAAAACAATTAATATTTAACTGTGTACAAAGTGTAACGCATCTTTAGATTTTTATTTTTACTTACAAAAACACTCTGACAATAAATATATAAAAACAATATGCAGTTAAACTTTACACATAAATATAATTTTCAAATTTAATAAATTATTTTATACAACTGAATTTCTCAAGTTTATTAGAATTACCTTGGATTGTGAGATTTACAGACATTTAATTCTGTAAACTTTGTGATCGCTAGAAAAAACATATTGGGCAACGTTGAGAAGGTCGTATTTAATACGACTTTCTTACACGACGTATAAAGATCACCGAGCATGTGTCAACGGAATGACAGGCGCACGATCGTAGATCGCGATCATGGAGATGAAAGCGTAGTGCTTGACTTAGGACTCACGTTGACAATTATTGGCATGAAGATTTTTGGAAGATATTTCGTCGAATTTGTCTTCAAATTTACGTTGTTTTGTAGTTCGTACGTCGGCGACACGCGTGTCGAGAGGAAACAGAGTCGGTTTTATAGCCACTCTTCCGCACCGAACCCCATCATCACCGTCACGGAACACACGCCAACTCCATCTCCCGATTATATGAAACGACAGGTAAGGAGAAGCTAATGATCTTCTCAATTAAAATAAACTTTTGTAATAACGCACAGCGCAATGTTATAATTTATTGTTCAATATTAAATTTTGAATAATGTTTTTTTTTTTCAGGGATCTATCGATAGTCAGTTAGATGCAATTAGTTGTCAAGGCGGTCGTTTGTATTCCGAAAGAAAGCCCAGTCTCACAAGATCTCAAACAGATTCCAACATCACGTACATGAGCGATGAAGTGCCAGAAGCTCCGGGCTCGTCGTGTTACATCACCAAAGAAGGCGATGTTGATCTTCAAGTCGTTCTGAAGGTAATCATCGTCGTTTTCAGTTATTAATTTTTTCACACACTACTCTGTGAGATGATGATGTTTCATATTGCTGCGTAGGCGATACACTTCATTGCTTTGCGAGATAACACCACGTGTACGCCGCGAGTCTGTGAGGTTATTCTGAATCTGATGGAGCTCTTGATGGACATGGGCGTGATGAAGCATTGCCTTCGGGAAGAAGCCGGCAGTAACGCAGGCAATAAAATCAGACTACTTGTATTGCTTTTATTTCGCTCGATTCTATGTTATTGTCGGGATGCGATAGAGTAGTTTTTTTATACGACAGTTCTTCTAGCGCTCAAGTAAAAATCGACTCACACTTTTCGGTACAGGGTCTGGTACGGGAATCGACAATAAATCCGAGACGGGGAAGAAACAGGATTCGCCGACGAATCAGGATCGCAGGCACGATTCGATCGAAAAGGGCAAACCGACCGCTCACAATCTTCTCATGAACTGCGTGGTCAGAGTGCTGAAGCATCTGGGTTGTCCGCACGGTTGCTTGGACGGAGTCCGCGGGCCCCAGGCCGACATCTGTCGCTCCCAGAGTCAGACCATCTTGACCAAGTTGCACCGTGCGAGTTCCCGGCAGTTCTCGCGATTCTTGCGAACGATGATGCGAGAACAACCGCTGCAGGAAATCATGGACTTTTTTCACGCGTACGTCGGATACTGCGTCGACCCGAGTTCGCTGTTGTCGCCGCTCAGTGAGTGAAATTAAACACAACGCTGCTGCACACAAAAAAATGATTGAAATAAATTATTTTAATTTTCTGTTAAACGTGCTTATATAAGCGCATATTTGTTCTTTATCTTTTGCATTTTCCTCCTAGATCAGAAGCGAATATCGAACAAATCGCCTGACGTGGCCTCCCAGAGCGGATACGCGACGAACTTCGGCGCCGGCATAATCGGTTCCGGAGCCGGAACAGGTGGCGGAACTGCCGTCGCAACGTCGGGCGGTTTCGCCAGCGGTTACGGGATGCGCGGTATCGAGGGGCAGATCGTAGCTTGCGTTCTGAAGGTCTTGGTCACGCGCCTGGCCGCCAATCAGAAGCAGCTGAAGGCGCAGGAAAACATTTGTCTTTACTGCGACGTGCGGCAACTGATGACTTACGTTAAGGAGGCGCACGGCGGCACCTTTCGGCGCGTTATTCTCAGCGGTATCCTCGACTCCGCGGATCGACCGAACAAACGGTGTAACAGCAACGTACAAACAACACGTGTCATAAGGTTTGTGAATATCGACGATTTTGACAATCTTGATTAGTTTTACGCGATTTAATGAAAGAATATTTTTGTTTGTTAATAAGTTAATTGTACACAATTAATTTTCTCGATTAATTTTTCAGACATATCCATCAGTCGGATTTAGAGGAACACGGGGACATCGGGGGAGACACATGTTACACGGTCGACGATCGAGGCACGCGGAAGTTTCTCTTTAAAAAGAGAAGCACGTCGTCCACTTGCGCTGTAAATATGACACATAATAACGACATAATATTTTTTACCTCGTTATGTGTGTGTTTATTCTGTATATAACATTAAAAGTGTTAACTGGGTAGGCGGGATCCAATTTGCAGAGCCTCCTCGAGACGGAACTGAGCGAAGATAACACAAAAGTCAGTCAGAGTCCGTTAGGTAATATACGTAAGAAGCACGTGCTAACACCTAGGCAGAGCGAACGTAATTTAGGTATTAGCGAGCTCTCGCTGGGATCGGGAAGAACGCGGAGGCCGACTAGATTTCAAATCGGTGGTCTCGGTAAGGAAATCAAGGAAATTGCACGTTTCATTTGCGACGCACTGTAAACAGCTTGTAATGAATCGTGACTTTGCGCGATCAATTTTTTAGTTAATTGGTTCCGGAAGGACTACAGCCGAACCGATTCGACCGATAGCCATGAAAGTAGCGAGTCGCCCACAGACTGTAGCTTTGTTAGGCAGCCGAGTTTCCACAGTTACGCTCTCCATCGCAGCTCGTCGCGAAGCGGTCGCGGGTAAAGACGTTCATTTCAAAGCGCTCATTCTTACGTTTTCATACTACAAGTTTTTCTTGTAATTTAAAGTAAGAGAATTACGCACAGATTTTTTTTTTTTAGGGTTGGTTTAACTCTGCAGAAAGCGAAACGTCGAATGGAGGACCAGTTGACCAAGATCGGTATCGGGAAGAGTAAAAAGAAAGAAAGCATGGAAGAGGCGCCTGGAAGTTGTAAGAAAAAACAGACTTGAGTTCTTATAAATAAATAATACAGTTTTGCGCATATACTATGTTGTATTGAAAATTTTTTATAAAATTTTACTTAACATGACTTTAAATGTGAATGTGTATCTGTTCGATTAGATTTCAGTCGGAGAAATTCTGTGGAACTCGGCGAGACTTGCAGGGAGTCCGAGTTTGTGGTCTTGAAAGAAAGGAGATTGGTACCTCGTACCGCGGTGTTCGACGGAATGTTACGATTTTCCTTCCTTTTAGAAACCTGCCAGCCAGGCTCCATTCCCGATTCACATCTGATGGCGTCGCTTTTGGATCTCGTAATAAATATTCTTGAAATTCACATTCACGGTCTTACGTTTCTTACGCGAGACAAAAAACAATTTATATATTTTTTTTTTTATGATGCAATTACAGCCGTACGCGCCGGTGGTGTCTCGCGCTTGCATGATACTCGAGTGCGCGCATTTGGTGCACCAGTGCAACCGCGGCCATTGGCCAACGTGGATGAAGCACAACTTTCCTATGTTCCGACCGTCTGTGCCAATTAATAACCGGAGCTCCTCTACCGCGCTCAGGCGTGTTCATATTTTACAGCGCACCGCGGGAAAATTATTTTATCAATGGGCAGAGGTACTTTTTTAATTGCACAGAGCGAGTTTTTATTTAACACTAGAACAACCAGATTTGAACACACATACTGTCAGTTTGATCACAAACGTCAATTTCACAGATATTTGAGATATTTGAACAAACTCTTTTTATTCATTATTTTTAATTTTTTTAATATTCAAATAATTAATAAAGAAGCTTTCCGCTACAAATATTTTTATACTATTTTGTATTTAAGTTTCCTTGTTAAGATAAAACTATTCAGAACAGTTTTGGTAATTTAAAATCTGAAATCTGTCATTTTGACGGGTTCGGTTGTTCTGGTATTAATTCAACAAAACGTTCGAATAATAAAATACGAGTGATGATTGCAAAACAGGCAATAGGAGCGCGCCTGGAAGAGTTCCTAGCAGAGGACAAAGTAAATATAGATCAGGTCACGAGCATAGTGTCCGACGAGAGCAAGCAGAGAGATTTAGTTCTAGAAGACGAGGAGGAGGACTTTCTTGATGACGGTATACATACGCGATATTCTTGTTCGCAACTCTGTAAACTTTAACGATCAAACAATTCGAATGTGAAAAAACATTTTGCAGCTAGCATAAATGGTTACGGATCTCAGTGCCCTTTCGCTCTGCGTCTCGTCGCTTGTATCTTGCTGCTGGAAGTGACGGCGTTTTTGAGAGAGACTTATCAAACCTTACCAAAGGCGAGTAAGTTGTTAACGAAGGAACGTCCACCTCCCTGGGAGAGAATGTACAGTCGGGAAGCGAATCGGCGCTGGAGCGTGGCCTTATCGTCCATGGGTCATTCGCAAACGTCCGCGCAGAGTCTTCAGTCCATAGCTGGCGATCGTGACATTGTCGGTTAGTAAATACCAAAAACACACACAAATACGTAAGATTAAGAAACTCTAAATTCGTCAAATAAATTTGCGCACGTTTCGTTTCTAAATTGACTGTATATAAATTCAGCGGAGCGTAAAATTAGTTTCGTCCTCTACGAGCCCGACAACGAGTCGGAGGGAAGCAGTAAATCGACAGTTACGATACAAGGAGAGGAAATGCAAAACATCGAAAAGGAGAAGGTAAAGAGAGTGCAAGCACCTCAAGGTAGACCGTTTCTCCTTCGTCGTAGCACCGCCGGAACTGGCTCGTTTAAAAAGAGGAGTCTCAAGCTTCGTCGCAATACTAAAGAGGGCAAGGACACGGAGTGCGAGGCATGTAAGTAAAATCGTGCGATAAATAAAAAAAAGTACAACATATTTAAAAATATTGGCGACATCGCTGCGTTGTATCGTTTGATACTCGCAACGTTCGATATGATGTCGGTTGACAGCGACGTTTTTTATCGCACACAGATACTGTGAAACGCGCGGATTCGATACAATCCAAGAGGAAGGTGAGTTCGTTCTCGGACAGAAGCGACACGTCCGAGCCCGGTGTTGGCGGCGAGGTCAGTGGCGAGGAATCGCCGGGTATTCTCAGCGACGACCAGCCACCGGAAAGTCCGAGCGACAGCAACGAAACCGACGAAACCAACAAGAATTTTCCGTGGATGAAGGTGCTCGCGCACTTCACCAATTCCTTCAACTTCTTCTGCTCCCATCAGAATTTCTGTCATCCCTTCTGCCATCGGCGACAGATGCGCGCTTGCAGCAGGCTGATAAAATCCGTGAGAAAGATCTACGGCGAGGAATTCGGTATACTGAACGGCTCGGGTTTGTTCGAGGTCGGTACGCACAAGAGAGAAGACAGCAAGAAGGACAAACGTAGCCGTAAGGTGTCGGATCAGACCAGCACGCAGGTGTCGCCTGTCCGAAGAAAAGACAGCGTGGGCCGCAAATACAAGTAATTTATTTTGATTAACTATAAAAAATAGAATAAAAAAACACGTTTCTGTAAATTCAATGCAACATTTTTATAAAAAAAAGTTATTTAGGATCGCGCGTGTACGTGTGTAAGAATCTGTATTGTTAATTACTGTAATATTTTTTCGATACAGGATAGACAAAAATCTGGACGGTTCCCAAACCGGCCGGTTAGCGCACAGAGATTCGTCGAAAGATCTCGCGGAGCAGGACTCCGAACGAGGCAAGGAGTTCTCGAAGAAATCGAAGTGCGACATCGAGGAGAGCAAGGAGTCACCGCCGCCGATTTTAAAGTACATAAAAACTCAGGTGAAGGACGCTTTTCACGCGCCTCTGGCCACACTGATCAAGGGTGCGGTTGTCATGCCGGAGGAGATGTTCGTGGAAGTGTTGCCGGTCGCGTGGGAACTCTTACTGGAGTCGAATCAGGAAGTCGCGGCGTCGGCCGCGGCGCTCTTCATAATATCGGCCGTTCGCGCGCCGAATCAGGCCAGCGATCTGATGCACAAGAGCCTACAGCACAGCAACACCAGCGTGCGCATTAACGCCATCCTGCGATTTCAAGTCCTGTGGAAATTGCGATATCAGGTGTGGCCGCGTATGGAAGAAGCGGCTCACTTGACCTTCAAAGTGCCTCCGCCGGGAATAGAATTCACTCTGCCGTCGCCAAAGATCGGAATAGAATCCCTGCCTGTGGTCGATCCGCCGTGGATGCCGCAGGTGAAGACCAAAGTGGAAGAAGTCACCATCGATCACGAACGTCATGTGAGTAACTGTCAGTAAGTAATGATTTAACGTTTTTAAGATCAATGTAGCTTACTGGCGTTTGTTTCGTCGGTTTAGAGATCTTTGGTAACCGCGACGAAAACGCGGAAGAAGCAACAAACGGAGCTGATAAAAAAAGCTCTTCAGGCGCAGGATGACAAGAGGCGAGAGGAGAGAGAAAATTTTCTCATTACAACGATACCAATCACCGTCCAGGCTGCTTATGAGCCCAGTCCAGTAGGAGATGATCATGATGAAGGTATGTGTATTGATGTTTTTTCTTGTTTTCAAGAACTGCAATATTTATGTTTTTGTTTTTGTTTGTTTTTTTGACGATATGCAGGTAACGCGGGAGATGAAGAAGGTGAAACTATTCCGAGAAATATGTTACATCATGGCCAATCAGCTCTCTCGTTATTTCCTTCATCGCTGTGTTCAGCGATCGTTCAGATTATTAATCTTCTGGACGATCCAGCAGTCTCTGATGATGGAAACGCCGTCTATGAAGTGGCATATCAGGTAACATCAAACAAAAATTCTTCGATCGGAATATTATGTTTTGATTCATTTTTTTTATATTGAGTCTTTTCTTTCTCGTGATCAGGTGATCTGGAATTGCCTGGTGGAAGACAGCGCTTTGTTTCTTCGATATGTGTTGGAGCGCCTCACGAGGGAGAAGCAAGAGTTAATGTTTAAGATTTTAAGACACCTCATTAGATTTGTGCCGAGGTTACCGCAGCAGGCTGCGTTTGCGTTGTACAATTATATCATTGGATACGTTATGTTTTACGTGCGTTCTCCGCACGAAGAAGGTCAGAAGTTGATCGGAACAGCGCTGTCTATCTTATGGATGGTAAATCTACATGTTTCTTCTATCTTTATTATAAATTACTCTATTTAAGTTAATATAAAACTGTTAATATGAATTAATTAATTTTGTGATGCTATTAGGTGGTGCACAGTGTACACGGCATTATGTTCAAAGACCTAAAACAGATTCTGCGGAAAGAGCAATGCGATGCGTCAATTTTGCTCACGGCGAACGTTCCAGCCGCGAAGAAGATCATCGTTCACGGCCCGCAGGATCCTGACGCCGGAGAAATTCCCTCGCAATTCCCGGTTCAGGAAGACACGCAGTTTTATCAGATACTACGAGAGTCGTTGGATTTTTTCGGTATCGAGGAATCGAAACATCACGAGTACTTTCTCGTCGATTACAAGACGCGTTAGTTTCTTATTATATATAACGTCAAATTCTCTATCGTATAATAATATCTTATTTTGTTAAGAAATACGTCGCTGTTCGTCTAATTAAATTTCAGATCAAATACACAACCCGTCGTCGTACGTCAGAGACTTCTATTTCTTCAAGAGATCCCAGTTCCCGCAAATTGAGCTCGTCCACATGAAGCCGGAGGACGCGTTCAACGCGCTTCAACGACAGGAATTGATGCACAAGTTCGTAGAAATAGGAAAAGTTCTGTTGACCTGGGCCATCTTGAAGAATGTCGACATGGTGGTGCAGAGAGTTGTGTTTCTTCACGAGGAGCTCATGAAGCTGCCGTCCTTCCCGCGAAAAGCGCTGGAAGCGGACTTGGATCTGTACAAAGGTGGCGAAATTGGAAGAGTACGTATTCACATCTTCTTTTTTTTTACGTCTACGAACATCAAAATTTCTTTTTCAAATTCTCTTTAAATTCTCTGAGATATTGAATAAAATGAATTTTTAGGAGCTTCTTGGTCTGGATGTGATGCACAAGTTCATGTGGGTCAGACTGATCGCGCGAATGTTCGAGGCAATGGCCGGGAATTTCGCGTATTCCGGCGACATTCACCTCTTTCTGAACGTCCTAAATGGCGCCGTTATTCTTCACAGCGAGGACAGTTGTATTCTGCGTTACGTCGTGGCGACCTACATAAACGCAGCGCACAATTTCAAAAATATTTTTTCAACGAACGGTTACTTGCTGATCATGCCAACATTGTTGCAACTGTATTCGACGCATCAGACAAACAAACTCGTGAAGACCACTGTTGAATACGCCGTCAAGCAGTTTTATCTAATGAACCGCAAACCCTTTATTCTTCAGATGTTTGGCAGTGTATCCACCATACTGGACACGGATGAGACAAGTGTTCATGGCGAGGCTCATAAGGTTTGTTTGATTTCTTTGATGAGAAAACACACACATGTGGAAATATCGTAAATTAACAAATTTGTTAACGATAACATTTTCCGATTTGTCTTAGGTTCCCTCCACGTGCCTGTTCAATTTGTTGTTAAGTCTGGAAACTCCGTCGCCAGATCCACTCAATATAGGAGAGTTGGTGAAGGAAGAGAAGCCTTTGAAAGCGATAGATTTCTGTTATCACGATGAGGACGAAATGGTCAACGTGCTCGATTGCATATCTCTGTGCGTGATGGTGATAGCTTATGCGCCCGATTCTCTCAGAGGTCAGCAAATGTTGGTAAGTAATCTCGTTTAACATTTTTCAATTTTTCTCACGTTATCACGTTTTACTTTATTAAAATATAACACACGCGTGGTATGACATTTTGTTGCAGATAATATTGGAAGCGATACTGCCATGTTACATTCAGCAGATTCAATTGCCCACGTATAACAGAGAAGGAAAAACGGAGAAGGAGATAATAAATCAATTGGCCATCGCTGTAAAGACGTTGGTTAACAACTCCGAAGCATTGGGAAAGTGCGTACATTCTAAAAATTTGTTATATATATATTTTTTTTTTCTTTATAATTTAAGTTCTTCCGTGACTATAATAATTACATATTTAATACACGTTGTAGATTATACAATGGTCCGCAAAAGTCCAGTCCGGAGCACAAGGGCTCCAGTCAGAAGAATTACGGCAAAGGTCCGTACTCACCGGGTTTCGATTTCGACGACGACGCACACACGACGAAATACATAAATCGCACTTCTTACGATCGGGACGAGGACGCGGAGAATTTTCACAAAAACGAATTCAGACGGCCTCGCGACACCCTGTTGAACATGGTTGGTGATTTCGTGGCGCGTTGCTCCACTCGCCTGATAGAACTCAACAAGAAGTCCCAGGACGGGAAAACCATCGAGTTGTTGGACTCGAAATGCCACGTGGTAAAGCGACAATTACTCATTGTTTAATGTTATTTCAAATACGAAATTTTTAATCTAATGCCGTAAAATTAATTGTTTCTGTAAATTATTTTAGCGACTAGCCGATATCGCTCACAGTCTTCTGAAAATCTCCCCGTACGATCCGAGTACAATGGCCTGCCGGGGATTGCGAAGATACATGAACGACATTCTACCCTCGACCGAGTGGACGGCTGATGACATGCGACCGGCGCTAACGCTCATCCTCAGAAGATTGGACAAAACCTTCAGCAAAATTCACAAAAAAGCATCGATCAGAAGGAATACCGATTGGACCGCCGCCAGCGATCTTCTGAAAGGGGTTTACGAAACCATGTCGAGGTGTCCGTACATCGCGCACTTCCAGTATCTGAAGACACTGTTGAATACTTGTCAGGTAGATAATAACTTTCGTTACTTGTGGATTTAAATATACACTTTAACTTACACACAAAAAAACTTGTTATTTTTTAGTCTTTGATTGTTGGAGACACCCCGCCCGAAGACGTAACGTCAGCTTCCGCGGCCGCTTTGATGAGCAAAATACCGCCTTCGTACTTTTGTTCGACGGTGTTACGTCTGATAGCTTTGCACGTGATATCCATCGGCGAGGGATACTCTCTGGAGAACGTTCTCGGTGGTCAGAACATGTTCGCCACGCAGGCTCGCACGCAGAACACGCTGTTGCACTTACTGATACCGTTATTTCTGCGTGTTGGAACTGGCAGAAAAGGTAAAAGAGATACAAAAGTAGTACGTTGTTCTGCTCAAGGGAGAAATCGCGCTTTGTGAATTATTCGAGTTGACGTTTTCAGATGTGCCGAAACTGAGGCAATCGGACATCAGTTTTGCTCTAACGGCGGTACTGAACACGCTGTGGCCACCGGGTGCGAAAGCGATGCAATCAACGATACAAAAACAACCGACGGATATGAGAGCCGGTAGTCTGACGTTTGCCGCGAGAGACACGAAGATTTCAACAAGAACATCGTTAACGTTATATCAAGTCGCATTTTTGGGTGAGATTTCGTCTCTCAAAGACGTGCGCGATTTTATTTTCGAGACCGACAATTTTCGCGAAAATTTTGTTTTGACATTTGTTTCTTTTTAGCGCTTAAAATCATGACGATATGTTTCGAGACCGAGCTGAAGACGGAATGGCCGAGAATCTTACGCACAATGCGTCTCCTGAACAAGCGCAACGAAGCTTCCATTTATCTCTGGAATTTCATCGAGTTCGTAGTGACGCATCGCACCGCACTGTACATTCAAATGTTTCCATTCATCGTTTACAAGATCAGGCAGGCGCCGATATCCGAGCACGAGCGAAACATGCACACTATCATACGGGAAAAGATCAACGGCAGAAGCACCACCGTGCCGAAATCGCGGGGCGCGCTACTTATGGATCTCATTCACGAGCTGAAGAATCTCAAGGAGGAAATTGAAGACAAAAGGCTCGGTAAGTATTTTCATCATCTCTTTTCCTCCTCTATATCTTGATTATATTTTTTGTAAGATTATTAAAAAACATATTGTTAAATATTTGTTAAATTAATTTAAAAAATATTTTATAAAAAAAAACATATTTGTAACTTCAATGCGCACAGACGAGATGCAAGCGGAACCCAAGAGAAGCGTCGCGGACATGCATTCGATCGAGGGCCAACCACGTACTCAGAGGCCGTCTCTGTTGATGGATCTTCTGACGGGCGACCTGGGATCTAGAGCTCACATAAATCGTACGCCCGCTGATACTCCGGTGTCTCATTCCACAGTGCCTCAATCGCATTCTCATTCGACTCATCAATCCATCTCGAGTAGCACAGTTAAAACAACGCAATCCAGTCAAGTAACAGCCCCGCCGAACGGTATTCACGCTCGCGGTATTGTATCAAATAACGTATTGATAATTTGATATTAATACCATTACCGTTCCAATTATTTTCTCAGAAGTCGATGAATCATTAACTTATATTATTTTTTTATTGATATTTTAATAAAAGTACCAACGAATATTAAAAAACGTAACTTTCTTGTGTTTAATTCCTGTATTAATATTCGAAAAAAAATAACAAAATTAATTATAATATTTTGGCTGATTACGTGTTTTTTTAAGTAACGACAATGGTGACGAGTTATTTTATTCATTTTTTCTTTTTATTTTTTTGAACAATAGACACATTTTCTGAAATTGCAGGGTCTGTGTCAAGTACCAGCGCGGGGTCCACGTTGCGGGAAGCGAGCGAGACCGCCGGGGAATCCTGCGCGGAACAGCCGCCACCGACGTCAACAGGTACTCCATCTTTTTTTCAAGAATTTTATAAAGAGGATTCCTGTATTGTCAATTATGATCAATGCGACTGCAAGCCTCTCGCATATATTTCGTTTCGTTTACTGTCGTTTACGCGCAGTTAGTACGAGAGATCGCTGATACCAGCTACCACAGTTGGATCGAGCCATTGTCTATGGATCACTGCCACCAGCGACGACTGCTCGGTTTCTCTTTTACCTTTTGTGTTCAGTTTCTCGTTTAGTGTCTCGCGCGGTTCGTCAAACAACAATGGCGCAATTCGCAATCTTCACTGCCATTTTTCCCATTTATAACTGAGGCTTGCAACTTCAAGAGTTTCTCCTCCCTTCCGAACGAGAATTTTCTCGTCTCGATGACACAAATGCCCATCGCTCTTTCCCCCGCCGGTTCCTCTACTCGAGAAAAAAAAAAGATCCTCGATTGATCGCATATCATTTAAGGCATTTTAAAAGTCGTTTCTCTTCCTATGGTCGTATGATTGACACATTGATCATAACGTTGCTTCCATTGCTAGCTAGGGAACGGAGGTAAGCGGTCCGATTCTAAAACTCAATCAATTCTCACACGGTCTGATATACATATCCTGCTGGTGTGCGCCCCCCTCTCACGCTTGTCACTCTTTTTTTAAGTAATTTTTTATTCATCTGTAAGTAAACCTCGATCGCTCGTCCTGTTTCTCTTCCGTCGCTCACTTTGGTCTTTAGTCCACTTCTTGCTGTCCTTCAAGTCCATTTTGCACCGTGAAACGAGATTGAAACACAACATGTATATATATTTAAGCTAATTAATTTTCAAAATATGACACGTTCAAAATCAGAAGAATGCTCGCAAGAACGCGAGCAAGATAAAGAGCGCGCAATCTCATTTCGCGGTGTACTTTCTTTTAGAACGCTGATATATCTATTATTCCTCTCTCTCTCTCTCTTTCTCTCTCTCTTTCTTTCTGTCTCTCTCTCTCTATCACGTCTTGTACGCAGAATCATAAAGGAACTTTTTACATAGCAGTATTTAGACAATGGTAATGTCCAACAGTTGGTATACCTACTGATTGTTGCGTAGTTCACTCTCTACTACGTAGTAGTTGCTTCTCGATGTTCTGTCGCTTTCTACTTTACTTACTTAAGAAGCACGAAACTGTATAAATTTCCATCGATCACACAGTTAGCACGACAATACCTATCTAAATATGTTATATTATATGTCAAAGTGTATCTTCTCTTCTTTTAAAAGATACCTCCGTATTTCCTCTTCCTAGCACAGAGTGACATAAAAATAGTCTCAAAGTATTACTGCAGAAGTGAACGAATTAAAAAAGTGTGCAGAAATGTTCTGTAAAAATGGTCGATTCTCAAGGTTTTCGATTTCTTACCAAAACTTTGTATTCAAACAAAGTATTCGACAATTGACTTGGAATTTGAAATTTTTGACACGCACACAGAACGGATTTCTAATCATTTCTTTTAATTTGCTCGAATGTTGCACTGATGCCACTATATCACTGCGCATACTACAGACCTACTTTCGCTAATCTTCGGACTGACAACAAAAACAAATGCAAGATTGTAGAAAAAAAAATTCTTTACGCAAATTCTTTCTTCATTGATTTTATTTGCTTCGGTCGTTTATTTCGTGCATCCGCACATTGCACACACAAAATTGTCATCGATTATTAGAAAATTCGATACACAGAGTTATAGGATATTTATTTTAGAAAATCAAGTAAATGGGAAATAAGATCAGCGGGATTGATACAATTGATAAATGTTTAATGTACGTACATACGAAAATATGCATGATTACATAATCAGTATTCACATCTCAATTATTATTTAGGTCATTACTTATATAATTATTTCACATATGTTTGCGTCAGCAAATTTGAGTTTGTTGTTTTTCCGGAATGTGTGATCCAAAAAAATAAATTCTCTCTCTATTTCTATTCTTGTTCGCACTTAATCATTTTCGTGAGTCTGCAAAAAACTTCTTATGTAATTCTGTCTGATCGTACGTGTCTTTCATGCGCGATGACATGTGACTCACACCATGTATGTAATTGTACAACCAATTTCTATTGTCTTGAAACACTCTCACGCTGTTGTTTTACGTTCTGATGAAAAGATATCGGAAAAATCTGCTTTGTATATTGTGTTTATGAGTACATTGTGTGCATGTGATAAGTATGTGTGTGATATTTTGTATAGGAATATTTCAAACTTTTTGTGATTAAAAAAAAAAATACATGTAACACACATCGTACACAACATGTCACATCATCATCCACATCACCACATCAATTTTTATGGCGAAATGCTCTGTACAGCAATTATTTCTGACAAATGCCGCTATTGTTTTTTTACTTTCGTAGAAATTATTTGCATCATTTCTTTGGTAATAATTTTTTTCTTTAAAATACTAATTAAAATATTTCTTAGTTGTTAAAAGTCGCATTTTTATAATTTTGTACACAATTTTAAAAAGTATTTTTTCCTTTTAAAGAATTTTTGAATTCAAAAGTAGCATGTACAGAGCGCGGCGAAAAATACGGTACAAGTAAATATATATAATAATTACACTTGTTAAAGAAAAAAAAATAAAAATTCCGGAATAATTTTGCAAACTTGTGTATTTTTTTTAATTAACAATTACTTTTGAACCTCTAGTAAAAGATTCATTTGAGAATTTCGATTTATTTTCCAACAAGCAATTAGCTTGTACCTGTTTGCACCGCATTTCTCGCCGTACTCTGTATTTATAATTTTGAAGTAAGAGCTTATGTTTACTAGATGTAGTGCCATGTTCCATCGAGCACAGGACACGGGTGTAAAATACTTCCTGCGCGCTTCGAAAACAATCTCGAACTGTATACAGTCCGAAAGAGGAGCATGAGTAGATGGACCGTAGAGTAGAAACCATGAATAAGACGGTAGACGCGACATGATCGTCGACATGATCCCGCCAGGAGACACGGTGACGAGCCAGCAAAGTCCGAGCAGTCCGACCGAGGACAGTTCCGGAGAATTACGTACCGACAGGCATCGCTTGCAACATACTTTGGGTCAAAGCAAGAGAACTTTTCGCTTCAGAAGGAGTCGAAAGAGTCACATTGAGGTGACGAAATTTATGCGCTTTTTTTCAATATTTTCAATCTCAATTGAGAAATATAGTCTAAAATATTGCAAGAATTGAAATATATCACTTTAATTGCGCCAATCACTTTTACGTGAACTTGAGTGTGTGTACATCTTTCTCTCATACAATTATATTTTTTCAAACAAAAATCTATTTCTATTACACAATAGAATTATTACACATGAAACACCATATTCCAGATAAGTGAAACAATGCCGGAACAGCCGGACGTAGATCCTGGGGAACAATCAACGAGTCACCTTTTACTGCAGACACCGTCGACGTCAGCGATGGATCCGTCGTACATCCCTTCCGATTCTTCGTCCGTCCGTTCCAGACGAAGTCTGTCCATTCGCAGATCAGACGGAGATAAAAACAACTTTAACGTGCCAGTCGACCAGCAGCACCTTCACGAAACGACGCACCAGCACCAACATTATCATCATCACCTACACCATCATCTATTGCACCCTACGCCCGAAGTGTCGGACGTGTCCTGGGACGAGGATACGTCCAGTACTTCTGGATATCGCGAGTCGTACAGTATGCAGCTCGTGTCCTTGGACAGTACCAATGCGCGTTCGGCGCACGCGCCGCCGTTGGCGTCACCGGATCTCAACGATATGCCATCCACGAGCAGCACGACGACCAATTACATAGCCTTTGATGGCAGTTCCCCGGATTGTTCGATCAACGGCAGCGGTGGCGAGAAAACCGCTCTGTTAAGTTCGAGCCCGAGAACGGCCTCCCAGCATTCATTGCTGGTGGTCTTTCCGAAAGATCAGGACGAAGATACGTTAATATAAAAAAGCACAAAAATACCTTGACATTTATTGTCGATTGAGACTGATAACTTAATAGAATTAATGAGGATCAACAGCCTTACGGTAATAGGAGATTTAAAGAAACAAAAAAAAAAAAAGAAAAAAAGAAAAAAAGAAAATAATGTTTAAAGAATATCGGAGGGTTATAAGGTCATAAAACAATTTATTACTCGTTACCTGTTAACCCTTTCGCGAAAGAAACTAATGGGACGTATATGTCCGGTTGTAATTTGGCGTCATAAGTGTTTTTATACTAATATGATTTATTTATTTTGCTTTATTGCAGATTGTAAACGTGTGGCATATATGTCCCAGTAGTGTGACACTTCGTGGAAAATGCGTACATTCTACTAATTCTAGAATTTTTGCGAAATAGCAGACATAGTATACATTTTGAATAGATAATTTTTTAATAAAATCATCGCAACACAGACACACACACACATACGTACACACGCACACGTACATAGTTAAAGTCAGGAGAAAAGACAAAAATCGTGGATGGTTCATGGAATTCGTTTCGATCAAGTGCATTTCTGATGATGCTTTTAAAGAGTTCAGACTAGGTGTTATAGTAGGCCTAATTGTTTATATTGCTGCGATTGTATATATACAGACAGGTTTGATAATAAAGACGGTCTACGTACATACACAAACACACACACACACACATACACACACACACATTATACACGAACATTGTAATTTTACGCATTCAGATTCAGTTGACTTCATTGAGAGACATCTCGCGTGTATAGTTGTGTCGAGGTAGATCAACGCTGATGTCTGCTAGAACGAACGATACCGCTGCGAATATGGCTGTGTTCATATCCAAGGCTTTTGGATTTTCTGCCAGCATGGTGTCTGCGTTCGTATGATGATAATAGAAATATTTTTCGTTCTGATTCCAAAGGCTGCCGCCCGGCACACCAGCGTTCACCCAATACTCTATATCAGGCCCCTGGCAGGGACTCCTCAATTTCATGTCACCCAGCGGATCTAACAATCTAAGAACATGAAAAGGTTCTACGCACTTGTTTTTTGTAGAATAATGTGTTACGAAAAAAAAAAATAATAAACATTTTTCTAAAAACTCTGACGCGAGTCTTTTTCAACGTCCCCGGAAACATCGAGACGCCTCTTGCGTTCGGATTTTTGAAAAAAATAGCGAAACTCAAAGCGTTTAAATGTCGCAATAACTTGCACGCGGACGGAACTTACCGCATTACTCTCTGAAGCACGCACTGTACCATCTTGTTTCCGGTGAAGTCCAAACCGACTGGATTAAACGTGCCGATATCGGATTCCATAACGAATTGTAAATTTTCATTCTCCGCCTCGTGCTTTTGTATGTATTGACGAGCTCCGATCATGCCAAGTTCCTCGACGGTCCACATTATCGTTCTGCAACGTACGTAAATTATTTGCTCTCTACGGAGAGAATCTAAATCTAGAAATTATGCCCACTTTTATTTAAAAGTACCTTATCGTTCTTCGTGCCCGAAGGCCGAGATGTTTCAGTAATTTCAGTGCCGTCCAGGATATGAAGATGCCACCTCCGTCGTCCATCGCACCTTGTCCAACGTCCCAGCTGTCAATGTGTCCCGAAACTACGACCGTTTTTTCAGGCGAGCTGTAACCCCTGATATCGACTATAACATTTCGCGACTGAACATTGGGTAAAAGTTTCGCTTCCATTTTCAGATTGATTCTTATTGTTTCCCCTAAACAGAATTAATATATCAATAATTTATCACAATAATTTGCTTATGCAAAAAAAAGATTCTATTTAAAAAAAAAAATCTGTTGCCTCGATTCGCCATTCTCCTCAGCATAGTTGCGTCTTCGACAGTTATGCAAGCTGCCGGGATTTTGGTAACGTTCGCCCCGTAGCTCATCATTCCGGTGTGCGGAGTGTATAAAGAAAATGGCGTTACCGATCTGATCAAGACGGCTACAGCTCCGAATTCCGCGGCCCTCGTAGCTCCGGAGCTTCTGTATTCCACGGTCTCGCCGTACGAGACAAATTTCTGATTGTAAACGACAATTTTTCCTGGAATCTGATACAAATATTATTTTTATAAAAATTACTCGCCCTAAAACAATATATATATACATATATCTCTCTCGGGACGCCTGTACCTCTGACGCTCTTTTCTTAAGTTCGGCAAAACTATTCACTACAACGGCGTCTGCAGTTATGCCTTCCGCCGGTGTGCCGACACTATAACCCAGACCAAGTAGCGACAGATCTTTTTGTCGTGGTTGCAAAAGAGTCGCAGATTCTGAACCTCTGAGAATTTATTATGACAATGTATGTATATTTTTTTTTTTTTCAATATTGCAAAGTATTTTTTTTTTCATTCGTATATATTTGACGTTCACGCACCTGACCCAATGCGGAATAGTAACTGGTTCGCCGTGAACGTTCTCAAAGCCTAACCTGGTCGATTCGTTTAACACGTAATTAATAGCCTCCTCGAGAACCGGAGTGCCGGCGAATCTCGGACCGAATTTATCAACGAATGTCGCCAAGTCTTGCCACGTGATGCTTTTGAAAGAACCTTGCGTTGTTTCATTAATTATTTTGTGCACAAGCGGTGCATAAGAGTCTATCTCATCACTCAACGCTTTTGACATGTGACACGTATCCGTTGCATATTGCGTCGTTGATATCGACTGAACGCATAATAGAATCATGAAGATAAAATATATTTCTGTACGCCACATGGCTGTTAACTGATTCCTCTGCATTCTGCAGTTTTATCTCTCGATAAAAACCGAGAACCGATAAAAACTGAAATAAATATTGAAATATAGAATTAGTAAATTTATTGTAAAAAAAAGTTTCAAACGCACAGTCGATTAAAATTTATTCAAATTTTATTCAAACTTTTAAATAAAAATATCTCACGTATATAATCTCGAAACACAGTCTCTTTATCAGTCACTTATTACAAAAATCAAATTAAATCAAACTAAATGAAAAATGATTAAGAATATAATCGAAAGAACATTATTATAAGAGGCTCAATAGTAGCTCAAGCAGCTATGATCCATGTAATGGTAGTTTTGACACAAGAGCAAGAGCGTCGTAAAATTCCAAATGTATATTAACATTCCGTAAGACAAATATTTTAACTATAACATCTTGCGAGCAGATTAGTATTTTTAGTAGTTTAATAGTATTTTTAAACATCGATCGATGAGTCTTCAGAATAAAAATCGATATAAACGTATTCGAAAATCAGAATTAACGTTCAAGATATCCTCGAGAACAAAGAATCCGCCGCGATAGTCGGCGAGAATAGATTTGCAGAAAGACAACGACATGCGAGATTAAGCGCGATAAATTTTGAAGATATATTATTGTTGTAACTATATTCCAATATTAAATTTCACTAAATTCACTTTTTAAAGAAATTAAACGATTTATATTACGAATTTTTATTTTTGTCTTTCCTTATGTCGCACATACACATGTAAATTTAATGTGTTCTCACCAAGGTAATGCGTGACGCTCAATATTTTATAATCACGGTGATAGTCGCGTTAGAAGCCACAAATATTAAAACTGTTTTTACGACGCTCTAAGCTGATGTTAGTTCGCACGCAACTGAACGCGCTGTGATGACTGCTCCTCTGAAAGTTAGCTGGATATTTATATATACATGGATATGTATATATATATATGTTGTTCACATCGTAACTACATATATATAGTTGATAAACCAGATTCCTATAATTGTCCTTCATAGCCTGCTTTAAAAGATTTGGGAAGTCACGTATTCAGCGAACGTAATCATTTGAAACGATGTATACTTAAAATAAAGTACTTGAAAAATACACGTGACACAAACATGTCACATCTTCACATAATTGTAATGCACATAAAATAATGTTAAAACACTGAATTGTGTGCAACATATACGATAAATATGTTGTATCAAAAAATAGTAAAACATGAACTTCTTTTTTATCAAACTATGGTTATATAAGTGCAACACAAAATTGGGGAAAAGTCTGTACGCAGTTCATACTATTTAAAAGTGCAAAAACATGTGTACTGTGTATTAATTAATTAATTGCATAAATTGTTTTGACACTTTTGCACATTATCGCGAGCGATCCGCGGCGATTTGTACAAGATGTCTGCGTAATGAAAGATCAATCGCAAATATATCAAAGATAAATGTGCAGTTATCGGTCATCATAAGATAAGAGTACGGTGAACGTCGCGTTGAAGTATGTTTGTTATTTTACTTTGTTCCACAATATTTGTAAAACGTATTTTAATTTTATTTTTATTACAGACTATAATTAGCCTAGTGTGTTCACTCCGTCGATACGAGTTGCCGACAGATGATGAAGAGTTTAAAAGACTCACGAAAAGAAGAAGAGGTAGAAAAGAAAAAGATTTTAAATACATAAATCTCTGCGTAATTCTATGTTTACTTAAAAAGCGTATAATAATCTAGTAACAAAATATGTTGTTTTATATAATTTTCAAAATATATTTATTTATTGAGAACATAAAGTTTGTTATCAGCAAGTGTCTTCAATTACTGGTAATCGGAAAGCAAGTGCTCGTCTCTCTCTCTCTCTCTCTCTAATACTTCTATAGTAGTCTAATACTTTATATACATATATATAGAATAAGTATTTTATTCATAATTTATTAATGTAAACGTTTGATAATTTAAAGTAAAAAAAAAAAATATACAGAATATTTATTCATCAATGTAAAATCACGCGGATATTTATTCTAGTGGAAAGCTGTGAGTGTGATTGAATAAAAAGACACACATGAATTATTAATAGGAAATAATGTTTATATATATATTATACAGTGTACATATTTATTAACTTCATTTATTTTATTTCTGTTATAAATTTTATATTAATAATTGTATTATGCTTTTGCCGAGCGACGAATGCCTTGATCAGTGTGCGCTTAGACTATAACAATCTCCGTAAAAAGTATAGAAACTTCTGATTTTTATTTTGTTCGTTTGTTTTTATTCTTTTATTCCTCTTTCTCTCCCTCTCTTTCCGATTTCGCCGTTCTCTTTCGCTCGCTTTCTCTCTTTCTCTCTCTCGTTCTCTCGTTCGCTCGTTTTCATCCTTTCTCTCCCTCGCTCTCGCTCTTTCTCTCTCTCTCTCTCTCTCTCTCTTTCTCTCTCGCTCTCTCTCTCTCTCTCTTTCTCTCTCTCTCTTTCGCTCTCTCTCACTCTTTCTCACCGAAACGCGATGAAACATACCACCAAAGAGAATTGCCAAAATATGTTGCGCTGAAAACGGCATAATCGTTCGGCATATACAAATAATAGTACTCGAAGTAATTAAAGTAATTGGCGGTTTATTCATTATCTCTCTTTCTTTTTTTTTCACTCTCGTGTGTTCTCAGTGACGCTTATTCCGAAAAAAGAAAACGACGCACCGCCGCCATCGCGCCCACATGGACACGATCCTTTCGTAGTTTTCCCCCCCATTTTCCACCCCCCTCCCCCCACGCAATACTTTACCCCAGGGGGGTTAATGTCTGAGTTATCAATTATTTATATATAATATGCGTAATAATATATAAATAATGTCGTTAATATACCTATGAGATGATTACCGTTTCTTTAATGATAAACTATCTGAATAGTACACACTTCTCTGCTAATGGCCATGACCGTAATAGCTAGTTATGTAATCTGTATGCCAGCGTTTCAAGTAAGATAAGGTACGTCGTACAGAGAACTTTCGGCTCGGCGTTCATGTAAAGACAAAAACCAACGGCGGGGGAAACAAATTGTTCAAATTACGTTTCGGAAATACGGGAACACGTCCGTGGCGCGAAAATGCGAACGTCGGGAAACCCTTTTTTCCGTTCGTCGATACGGATCAGTCGATTTCATCAGGAAAAATTTGTGAGACGAATAAAATGCGATGTTCAACAAGATATTTTTTTTTTTTTTTTTATGAAAAAATCTTTCTCTCTTTCATGTGTACTAAAAACGCAACGAAACACAACACACAATTAGATAATATTCAGTATATTTTTTGTGTGTGTGTGAGTATAGGAAAAATGTGAACTTTTTCTTTTTTAGTTTTTATTTTTTTTTTTTTTTTGTCATTTATATCACGATTATTTTTTTTCCGACGAAATGTAGGCGCCCGACGTTCGATAAAAAATGTTAATCCTTTATTTACGTCCCCGTGTTCTACCTTGATATAGAAATGTGTACGACGTTAATTTATGTCACTTAGACTTGTCGTCGAACGCATGGTTTGTTCTCGCTTGCATCAAATGTATGTATCTAGCTTCCTAACGTAAGTGTTAAGTGTAATTACTTTTATTCTTTTATATAATGCATTAGCTTCTTTTTTTCTCGTTATAATAATAATTGTCATTCCATAATAATCATAATCAATAACCATAATTAATAGCAATAATAATAATATTAACTATCATCATCGTCGCGATCATTTAAGTCCCGATGATGCTGTTAATAATTCGTCCATATCGATATATTATATATTATATTTTATATTTTACACGTTTTTTTTTTCCTTATGAAAATAATAATTCAAAATGGCATATCTTCCGTTCGCGCGCTATTTCCCATCCCTATACGTCGTGTCGCCGCCCCTCGCGCTCCCACATTCTCGCACTTCTCTCGCCCTCAATTTGCGCACACAGTGACTTTATAAATAACTATTTATTCTCTACATGCTTCTCGGCGGAAATTCTCGACGTTCGCCGCGATTGTGAACAATCCGTTGCAGAAGCTCCTTCCCGACTTTGCATCAACATCGCGATTCTCACTGCACGCGAGAGACGAAAACTTCCATCGATGAGAGCCACAGTGAAGCTATGAGGGAGACTTCGGGATCGAACGCAGCCGTTCCTCTCGCTCTTCGTCGCACAAGTACACTTCGTGTCTTTACGTCTAATTGTTTTTTTTTTTTTCGCAATACTTGCTAACGTCGCACGTTGCCTGACGCTACCGACGCTGTTTCGCAAACGATGTAAAAGCGATATCGTCAATTGTGAACCTTTGTGAAAAATGCGTGTGTTTTGTGTGCGTGTGTGTGTGTGTGTGTGTATGTGTGTAGATGACGTACCGCTAATATTTTTCATCCGTGTTATTTGCGAGATAGAGATATTTTTACAGTTTAATGATACAAAGTATAATGGTACTCCAACAGTGTCAGTAACGTCGCGCTGTTAAGCAATACTGACGGAGGAACGCGTTCGGTAACACCGTGTCTCGCACTTCCCGCGAACATCCGCGAGCCATCGTACAACCGTTCGTTCAGTGTTTGCTCTTTCGTTTGCTCTCTCTTTCTCTCTTTCTCTCTCTCTCTCTCTCTTTCTCTTTAAAACGCATATATACTAATAGTAATATTTATTATCACGCGTGGTCTCACATTGTTCCGCGCGTCTTCTAAGCTCAACACGCTGATATGCTCTAATTAAATGCTCTGTCGCAACTCGCCTTATATAAATGTTTTATCGATTACTTGTTGATTAACACGTAGCATCGATTGTTCGTCCTCTCAAGCGTACGCTCGCAACCGAATCGAATTATAAATTGTTTTTTGTTTTTCACGAAATTGTCACTTTTTCTGCGTTCTCCGAAGTTCCGCTTTCATCCACGCTTTTACACGTCCGATCCAGTCGTCCGATCTTTTTTTTTTTTTTTTTTTTT